AAATACTTTTGATCAGAAATTATAGGACATGTAAGCCATCGATAGGCTTTTAGGCACCATATGACAGAGAGTGGGTAAACTAGCCAGCAATCAACAATTATGATCCCAAATGCTGGGGCAGAGGGCTATTTAAAAACAAAAACAAAAACAAACAAACAAAAAAGATAAATCAAGCTAGAGCCAAATCACTTGGAGATTTAGGATGGATATTAGGAAGAACTTCTTTACTGAAAGGGTTGTGAGGCATTGGAATGGGCTGCCCAGGGAAGTGGTGGAGTCACCATCTCTGGAGGTCTTTAAAAGAATCTCTGGAGGTCTTTAAAAGACGTTTAGATGTAGAGCTTAGGGATATGGTTTAGTGGAGGACTGGTTAGTGTTAGGTCAGAGGTTGGACTAGGTGATCTTGGAGGTCTCTTCCAACCTAGATGGTTCTGTGATTCTGTGAAAATAATAAAAATAAAAATACAGAAAAAGGAAGTCAGCCCTGGCATTTAGGGAAAAAAATAAAATCAAAGAAGGGCATGATAGACTTCAAATCTGCTTGCACTGCCATAAAAATACCATATAGACAATACCCCCAAGAACATTGGAACATTTTCTGATCATGTTACTCATTCCTACTTCTCTGTTCATAAACCACCCTCTAGTTCTCTGTCACCAACAAAAAAAAAAAGCATCAGGATCAGTTTTGCTTAAACTCTACAAACAAACCTTTAGACTACTGGGAAAGGAAGATAATGTATTTTTTATGCAATTTAATTGCAAATACAACTGATTTCACTATGGCAATATACTTTATAAAAGTAGAGTCCCATATATGTTTTAGTGGGAGCAAGACCCATTCCTTTTCCATTAAAGTGCTATTACCTTCTAACAAAAGTTTATTTTACCCTTTTAACAGACCCATTATATCTCTGTGAACATAAATTCATCTGCAAGCACAAAGTCTTTGTGACACACATAATTACTCTAAGTCAAAGCCTTGGCTTACATTCCCTTGACTCTGATGATGACTTAGTTTGTGACCTGAGGCAAATCACTGAATATTTTTGTTCATGCATCTCGAAAAGTAGTACAAACAACTTTGTTGTAACACAGTATTTGGAAGCTTCATCAAACATGTAGGCTGCTTTAAAAGACAAAATGATTGCTACAGGCTTGCTCTTGATAGAAAATCTTCTGCCGACATCAGTAGAAATTGGAAGAAGCTTCTAGGAAGCCTACTGAAAACTAGTCTTGAACCATCTAGCACAGGATCTAATTGATTGTATCTAATTGATTGCAATGGATTTGTAGGGGTTTCTGTAACTGCATGTATAGCTTGTCCAAACACAGCCCAGAAAGGAGAGTCTAAATAAAGGTGAAAAATCCCAGCCTTATACTCACATTTATACAAACTATGAGTTTGTAATTGGTCTCATGGATAAGCAGTGTGATTCCAGTTTGCCCTTCAAATATAATCTGGTCCCTTCAAAGCACACGGGTCCATCTAATTGGGAATGATCAAAAATAATCCAAAAGGAATTATTACTCATCCCAATGTGAATTTAAGAATATGATTCTGGGACAAGGTAAATAAATATTTCAGCAATCCCAGACTAAGAGACTGAGCTGCACAAAAGGGTGCTGACAAGTCTTGCATCAACCAGCCAGTCTTTATTTTGTTACAGGTCACACGAATAGCTTTGCAAGAAAATATTTGCTTGAGGTGAAAATACAGCATTGCTTCTAAGATTTTAAAATGTATTCCTACTTTGAACTCATCTGTCAACTTCTAGCTCATGGAAACAGAATTCTATTAATATTTATTTGATAATATATGTTTAAGGTTTCACAAATATTCTTACAAAGCCATAGACAAGGTAAAAATCTTAGAAGTTAAAATAATACCCCAAACTTGAGACAAATAGTGCTGAGTAAATAAACTAATTCATCAGAGTGAAGAGAATAAACCTCCATTCAAAGACCTGTTTTCTGTGGTTTGATACAATTTACCAACAATGGGGGCTTCAGCTACAGTTTCCAATAGTTAAGATTTTCATATACTCATGTAACACAAAAAAAACTAGACATTTGTGCAGATAATAAGGTGACAAAAATACCTCCTGGGAGAGGATTCTGGGGTAAGATTCCATTGCCTCAGGATCTAATTCCTGGCTGTACACAGTGAGAACTCCATTAGTTTACTTTAAAACAAACCATTTCAAGATTTCAGAAGACAGGTGTTTTCTCCTTTATAATGAGAAGAAATCCTAAGTAGGTATACTTTGCTTCTCAGAAGCACTTCAGCTAGGAAGTTAAATCTCATCTCACACCATTGAAGATGCAGCTGCTAACAAAGCAAATGGAGAATAAGTCTTTGACTCTGTGCATAGGCACAGAGGTACCAAGTTTACCCTGATACCAGTTTATCTACATCATCATACAATGTTGTAGCTGATATGCGTGAGTTTGGCTAACAGTAGTTTTATATCCTCTGGAACAAAACAGTAATATAAGGTGCAGGACCTTGTTCTACTTAACGTGTTTAAGATAAACAAGTAGTTCAAATGATCATTTCTATTCCTGGTCTTTCTGTAGTTGAATGTTTAACTGTTCTCATCCTGTAAATATTTGTTCTTACATGCTTATTACATAAATTTTCTCAATGAAAGAATTGACTTCCGGTACGTAAATACTGCAAAGGGAACAGGCTATGTTCCTGCTTCTTGGACAGCCTGGACACTAGGCCAGTTTGAGCACACTTGGTGTCTGCTTCTCCATCCCTACATGATAATGCATAACACAGCAGAATACTAGATGAAGCTTGATGCTTCTTAAAAAAGGAGAACAGTGATAAAAGATGAAGCATAGTGAGCTTCATCTGGTCATGGACCGGAGAGCATCATTTTCAAATGGAAACATTACTTATTGCACCGGCTCTGTAATTATAATGTAGCTTTTGGAGAAAAATCCGTATTGATTGATCATAGGCCCTGCAGTTGAAAGCAACATGGGTAATCTAGAGGTAAATATTTTTGTGCTGCAGAGACAAGATGTATTTCAGCATCAAAGACAGACCATCTGGCATGCAATCACCTTCTGACCATAGTTTTCTGCATAGCCCTATCTAAAAGAAAACCACTAAGGAGAGTGCTAAGGATGCAACTGGATGATGGCACAGCTGCCCGCATTGTGACAGCACATTTTTAGCAGCCACATGTACTTTGACAAGAAACTGTATTGTCACAGGTGTGCACCCGCAGCAGATGGCTGAGGAAAGGAGCTTGCTTATGGAGCTTAACAACTATAGAAAAAATACTGTAATTTCCAGAAGCTCTAATATTGCACTGTACATTTATATTCATTCTGGTATCATCTGGGATATGCTGAGGATTGTGAAAAGAGTTAGTAATAAACTGTTGAAAATTCTGTTCAGTGATTTGTTTTGATACAGCTAGGAACACAGATCTAAGTCAGGATAAAGTTAGATGAGGCAGCATACATTTCACTACCTTGCACATGAAAATCTGCTGCAGATGAAAGTATTTTATGTAGGTCAGGTACTGCTTCACTGGAGACAGGGAAAAAAAAAAAAAAAGGCCATAAGGAAATCAGAGCAGTGTTGGGCCTTATTCCACTGATCCAGTCTACTCCAAAGTTTCAGTTAAACAGAGATTTCTGTCTCTCTGGTCTTGTCTATCAAAGTACTCATCATGATCAACTTCTGCAAGGCTAAGTCTAACGGACTGGATAGCATATATCTCGTGATACAGAACTAGATAAAACTCTTTATGCTCATAGGGAGACTATAGTTTTGTCAGTTGTGGAAAGAAGAGTAAAATCAAAGTGACACTAATTTTCAACTCATTGAAACACCGAGCTGCAAAATTCTGTTTCAGGAGCAGAATAAGGCTCTCTGTCCCTCACAGTGAAGAGAATGGTGTTATTAAAAGAAGCAGACTTGGTTTTCGCTGTCCTTATCCTTACAATTGTGCTCTAATGTAACTGAGAGGGTACCTGCCTTTCAGTCTTCCTGCAATAATAGTTTATCTCTGAGAGACAGGAGGAAAATAATTGCAGAAACCTAGAAGTACGAATGAGTATTTTTTGGTTATATCTCACAGTCTCATCAGAGAATTATTTATTTTTTGATGATTTTTTTTTTTTTGCTTTGCTTTTATATAACTATATTTTTAATCTGGCAACCAAAAAGCACAAAATACTATCTTCTACTAACATTTCAATAGCAAGGTATAGAATTTAATTCTTATAACACACATCATTCCATTTTTCATTACCACCTATCAATCTAGGAATTTCTCTCGTATCAAAAAAACTGAAAGATTCTCAAAATGAGCAACACTTTATTTCTGGATGGTATTTAGTTCTGATGAGACATGGAAAGAGGTACACAAGACACACAAAATACTACACATAGTAAACAGATGGAAGAAGAAAATACGTGTACTTGTGCAACTTCAGTACTTTATAAATACCTTAATTCCCTTGCAGAGGGAAGGCAGCATAAATGCCTGTATATTTCAGCTTGCTCCACAGTGATTTTCCTAATTTAAATAAACAAATTAATCTAGAAAGGCTTTTCCCATTACATCTATGTGAAACTATCCTCCTTACTGAGCCCAGGATCATAGGTACACAGGGATTTTTAGGTATCATCTCTGCAGAATAATACCAAATTCTGCATTTATATTATTTTTCCATATAAGTTCTTAAAAAAGATATGGGATATTATTTAAGATATATTTATATATATTTTATATATAATATAACAAAACACAACATAATATTGTAGATATATTTATATTTTTAAGAGAATTTTTTAAGATATATTTTTCCCCTTCTCAAATACAACAATCCTTACAACTACAGAGCAGTAGTATGCATGTTATTTGCATGCTGTCACCCATACATATGTGACTCCTTTTTTTCCCCTATAATAAAAACCATGTCGTACTTTTTAATGCAAGCCACCAGTGATGTTTGTTTATGTTCCTTACCCTGATTCCAAGCTCCACGTTCTCCCCTCCATATACTTCCATGCCTTCATCTAGTAAGCCAATCTCTTGGAAATATTCTCTGTCTACTATGAAGCACCCAATCAATGCAGGACTTCTGGAAGAAAAAAACAGGAGCAAGCAAAATTAACAGACAGAATACAAACAATTTTATTACTCCAAAATTGACTATATTTATCATTGCTGGGTCAAACAGTGTGTCAAGACGGATTCTTAAGAAGGTAGTCCTCAAATAGATTTATTCAGCTTTGTTTTCTAACGTTCTTGATTCTGTAGTAAAGAAAGCACTGAAAGAAAAGAGACTCAAAATGACTGGACAAACACATTCACCACAACAGGCAGGACTTAAGGATTAAAAAAGAGTAGACCCAACAGCTGCAACTTCTTTCCTGAGGCACCAGCCATTGTAGCCAAAATGTGGAGTAGTCTATCCCTACTAAGTTCTCAGGTGTCTGTGATAATTAAAAGGGATACCCAATGATGCATGGTTTTCTAAGTTTAGCTAGAAGCTAGGCTCATCTTAATGGCTCAGGAGCGGTCTGTCCCCATGTGCCCAAAGTTGAGCTGGTGTGGAAGAAGACCTGCCTGTCTGCACAGGGAATTGTGCCTAGAGCTCAGGAAAAAAAGAGGGTTTATGATCTATGGAAAAGACGGCAGGCCACTCAGAAGGATTATAAGGACGTTTTAAGTATGTGTAGGGAGAAAATTAGAAAGGCCAAAGCTCATCTGGAGCTCAATCTGGCTACTGCTGTTAAAGACAACAGAAAATGTTTTTATAAATACATTAACACGAAAAGGAGGACTAAGGAGAATCTCCATCCTTTACTGGATGCAGGGGGAAACGTGGTGATGAGAGATGAGGAAAAGGCTGAGGTGCTTAATGCCTTCTTTGCCTCAGTCTTTAGTGGCAAGACCAGTTGTTCTCTGAATACCTGGTACCCTGAGCTGGTGGAAGGGGTTGGGGAGCACATTGTGGCCCTCATAATCCACAAGGAAATGGTTGGCGACCTGCTACAGCACTTGGATGTACGCAAGTCGATGGGGCCAGATGGGATCCACCTGAGGGTACTGAGAGAACTGGTGGAAGAAAAAGGCCAAGCCCCTTTCCATCATTTATCAACAGTCCTGGCTATCAGAGGAGGTCCCTGTCCACTGGCAGCTAGCAAACGTGATGCCCATCTACAAGGATGGCTGGTGGGTAGACCCGGGAAACTGTAGGCCTGTCAGTTTGACCTCAGTGCCAGGGAAGCTCATGGAGCAGATCCTCTTGAGAGTCATCACGTGGCACTTGCAGGGCAAGCAGGCGATCAGGCCCTGTCAGCATGGGTTTATGAAAGGCAGGTCCTGCTTGACAAACGTGGTCTCCTTCTATGACAAAGTGATGCTTGATGGATGATGGAAAGGCTGTGGATGTGGTCTACCTTGACTTCAGCAAGGCTTTTGACACCATTTCCCACAGCATTCTCCTCAAGAAACTGGCTGCTCTTGGCTTGGACTGGCGCACGCTTCGTTGGGTTAGAAACTGGCTGGATAGCCGGGCCCAAAGATTTGTGGTGAATGGAGTTAAATCCAGATGGAGGCCAGTCACTAGTGGCGTCCCCCACAGCTCAGTACTAGACCCAGTTCTCTTTAATACCTTTATCAATGATCTGGATGAGGGGATCAAGTGCACCCTCAGTAAGTTTGCAGATGATACAAGGTCTCTTCCAACCTAGATGATTCTGTGATTCTGGAAACATTCAAGCTGCAGTATGTGTGGACATCTGCTTTCAAACAGATTATAGAACGTCTTAATCACAAGCTGTAAAATTCTACAGAATTCTATACATTTGTTCCTTGAAGTGCTATACTCCCTACTTCACAACAGTGAACAATCATTTCTGATATATTTATGAATGAAGAAAACAAGTTAACTGTTGCTTCTGACAAAAAACAAGTTAACTGTTGCTTCTGACATTCTTTTAGAAGTATTTTTCAGAGCATCTGCTTCCCTTTTTTTATAATTCTAGAGTCATATTTGGAGGCATGACAGACACCATCAATACATGTGGTGTTTGTTTTTTTTTGTTTGTTTCTTTTTTTTAATTATCCATCACATGCGCACAGCATATCTCACTGAATAAAAGGCTCCAGAGAAATGTCTAGGGAAAAATGTAAACATCCAATATTCTTAAAGGGTATTTGCTCCACAGTACTCACAAAGCACATAGTTTTTAGATAGTACAGAACAGAAGATTTGCTTGTCATTATGAGCTTAGGTACCTTTAACTTAAAAAGTTACCATAATTAATATAGAAGGTTTGCCTCTCCAGGAATTAGTAGAATATTACAAGGCATTTTCATAATAATAACACAGTTCATTAATGCTATGAAACCCTTCTAATGATGTGGAAATTACCACCCATTTTTATGTCTGTGGCAAACCTGTGAATTTTTAGCTACTACTTCCCAATTCTGAATCCTGTTCTAATGATCAGCACGTGGATCAGAGCAGTCCCATGTCTAAGCTGACAACTCCCCAGAAGAGATGTCTGCCTGAAAAGAAAAAACCACTGGATGAGATACCCCTTTCACTGCCTGCATGGAAACAAGTAACTGAGTGCTACTGATGAACCCCCCCACCCATGCTGCTGCTGCTATTTAAGGTTCTGCTTTGCAGCTGGTGAAAACAGTCTACACACTTGCTTTCTGCAGAGCTAGAAAACAGGTACCCGTGACCTCCTTAGTATGAATGCCTACACAGAAAAAGGACTGGAAACCCAGCAGAGCTGCAGAGGGATTCAGAAGCCTCTATCTCCCTCCCAGAGGTAAGGGTATTGTTCTGGGCCAGCCCAACATTGCTCTAGCTGTGATAACAAAAAACACAGCTAGATTGTACAAAAGCAAGAATTTATTACAGTTGTTACTAACATACTTTTGGTGGACCAGCATTAACTCTGATGACACAATACAGCTATAAAACTATATGGCAGTATTACGAAGAATACAACTGTCATATTAGTTATGTTATATAATGAATTTGTAAAGAAAATTATGTTTCTGGCCCATTACCACTAAATTATCAGACAACATTTGGAGAAAGAGTACTGCTGAGCATTCAAGTCTACTGCTCCATTTTAGCTATTTTTTTTCCCATGTTAATAACAATGAAACCTATTAAAAAACATAATATTAAAAAACCTACTGATAAAGGTTTTCTTGATATATGTAGGGGGAGCAAGGACACAGATCAAGGACATTTAACTAATTTAACATCTAATTTAACATTGCAGTCAGTAAGACCTATTATGTAGCTTGAGACCACTCACCATCTGTCACATCTAGATGAGCATTTCCTGCGATACACTAATCTGGGTCACAGTTGCATGTTACCTTATTGGAGCAGTTGTGTTCTCCAGTTTCCACCATGACCTAGGAGGGTTCAGATAGCGGCACCATAGCTCCCAGTCAAACCCTTGAGCTGAAAGGGGATATTCTTCTATTTCGAAATTATCATACTTAATGTTATCAAATGATGGAGAAATGACCCTTTTTCTGTTTTCCTTTATCCTAGTGAGCACTGGTTCAGCCCTAAAAAAATATATAAAAAAACAAAAATTAAGACGATGTAGTAGGATAGCACTGATGGAAATAGCTTACACTGTATATTTCAGAAGGAGCGATGTCTATAGGTGTTAGCTATTCAGAGCTTCCTTTGCTTTGAGACAGAGATTTGACGGAGCAGGACCTGCCCCAAAATAATGCAGTGCAATATTTTATCAATGACTCTCTGTTATTATCCTTGATGTTAGCTGGAAATGGAATAAATTACTATGTGCATTATCACAGAGCATTTACATCCCTGCTACCAAGTAACGATAACTTCAGGCTCTCAATATCATCAAGAGCATCAAGATCAGAGTTAATATTAGATTTATCCTGCAGACAGCACCTCCTGCCTTTTTACTATCTTTTTTACTCAAGAAACAGAGATATTAAATCTAGACCAAACAAGTTCAAATACATGTTTTTAGGTATGTGCTACTTTTGCAAAGAGCAGCAACCTCAGAGACAAAATGACACTTCTTTGTTTATACTGTAAAACATAAAAGAAACTTTCTCTAGTATTATTAAAAGAAGGTCAATTTGCTTCAGCCATCTGCCCATAAGGAGCATTACTGGAGGGAGCTCATCTCTGAAAAATATGAGCATAGAAAATAGAATTTTTTCTCAGCAGTTTGTCCTTTATTAGGAATATAAGGTATTTGGAAGCTACATAAATGTGAAGCATTTTCTGTTTCCTGAGAACAATTTACAATATTGTCCTGAGATTTGAAGAGAAGTCAAGCAACTCAAAGAAGCAAAACCTGAATCATAAGTGTGCTGCCCCTAACTGCAAGCCCCTACCTAGTATCTGTAACTAGTCTACCTTACTCAGCTTCTTTATGGCAAAATTACCATTTACTTGAACAAAAAACAGTAATACACAATAGATTCAGATATTTTAGATATATTTTGACAAGTGGGAGCTCACTTTATGCACAGTTTTCCAGTATAGTTAAATACATTGTAATTGCAACCAGGAGATAACTCACACTAGAAAAATATATACAGACTGTTACATAGCACAAATACATTTTTGGTGATTGTGTCCATCTCTGAATCCTTATTAAAAAGATCAGAATATTAATTCATCATCTATATGCCAGAGAAACAGCATTTAGTAATTTATAAACAGTGCTTAGAAAAGGCCCCTTTATCAGATAAATACAAGGAGACACATACCATCCCACATTGAACTCCACATGGGCATCAAAGAGAGCAACTACTGGTGCTGTGGCTACTCTCCATCCACTGACTCGAGATCGAATCAGCCCCTCTTGTTTGCTGTGTCGAACAACCTTGATGAAACCAGGCTTCCGAGCATTCACTTCATCAACATACTTCTTTAGTTTCTCCTTGAGTTCTTCTGTGCAAAGGAAAGAATTAGATGTTAAGAAATATCAGCTCGCCAAGACGTAAAAACCTGCTCTTTCAGCAAAACAGGAGTCTTCTCACAGGGGAATACTCCATGTTGATTTAACTATTAAGACTTCTAAAAAAAAAAAAAAAAAAAAAGAGAGAGAGAGAGAGAAGGAAAGAGAAGGAATGCAAATTATATAGTAATAAAAAACTGAAGTGTAACAATTCAGCCTACGTGATTGCCAAAATCCTGTCGCTGTTTAACATTAACATGCCACAAAATAAAGCACTCGGTCATAAAGTACCATAGCTACAGTACATATTATGTTACTGTAGCAACAAATAAGTTAACTAACTTATATTTCCAGAACAAAATAAGGCAAAGTATTTTCCATTAACTTCCTTTACTAATATTTCAAGAAGTGAAAGAAATTAATAAAATTAAGTATTTATACTTTTTCCATATTTTTTTTCCCTGAACTTGGACAATACCCTTCTATCTTAACTAAGAAGTTCTATGACTTCGTCTCTTTTTTTCAGCAGAACAAAGACCAATAAAAGCACTGGAGGAGAATTATTCCTAATTAAAACATGATAACCTACTTCATCGACAGTTATTGCATCTCTGACTTTAAGACCACTGCATGAGAAAACTCCATACGAAGACCTGAAATACAGTGTTCACAGTTATTGTTTATTAGCATTGCGATGTTCTTTTTACGTTATGGTAGCACTAAGAATTCCCTTGGCATTATTAAGTTTCCTTTCCTCACAATCTCTCCACATATCCTGAAATGTCTTTGCTGCAAGGCAGAATATTGCTCCTGCGGTTATGATGATTAACTGGAAATTGTCAGATCTGCATTAAGAGTTCCATTCTGCCTAGCCCTTCCTGTGAAATCTTTGGCAAGCCACTTGACATCTTCATAAATCAATTCCACACCTGTGAAATGTCATCACCACACTTGTTTCTTCTTTTTGGTCTATTTAGACTTGAAGCTCTAGAGACCACACTTTGCTTTTTTCATGCACTTGCACAGTACCTAGCACAATGGAATAGGGGGCATCAGGCAACTGGTGGCTCCCAGCCCAGCCCAGGAGGGAGCAGCACCCTGGAGTCTGCAGTGGGAAGGGAGTACCTTAGCTTCTGCCATGCTGGCTGGACCAAGCATGAGCACATGTATTTTCAGTGAGCTTCTGTTCAAGAGCTAGTTGTTTATACAAGTCAGGTACGCTTGCGTGCAGTCCTGAAGGTTCACAAAAAAGTGAACACATTGCTTCCATCAAAACATATGAAATAGGTTTCTTACTCAGAAATCTGTTTGCTTCCCATAGAGCTCTGCTCCTCTGAGCCTTGTGTGTGTGCCATCTGCCATTTCCACTGTTTTCCTCTCTTGCTGATTTTAGCCCCTGATCCATACATACACACCAGATAAGTTGGTCATGCCACTGTTTTTCCTATTTCCCGGAGAAAAAAACCCTTGGGTTTTTGCTCAGATGTTCAGTGCCAAGCTATCCCTTGGTTGTAGCTTCCAATGCTCTCGCTAACGTGAAATAAAGTTTTCATCAAAGAATTGATACTATTAGCCAACCTACAAGGTCTTTAGCATCCCCATAAGCTTCAGGAAGTCTGTGACATTTCATAAAGGCCCAGTGTAGTAATAACAATATTCACAAAGTACTCTCATCAATGTCATATTTGTGGTCTTAATGCACTTGCATGAAATACAAACCATGGGTTTTCCCCTGCAGTTTCTAACATTTGTTCTTCACCACACTCTTATTTCATTCATTCTTTAATTTGGATTACACATGTGTAATATATATAATAACCAATGTATGTATTGATTGCTTTCAGGGAATTTTACATCTCATTAAATCTGCTAGGCAGTCTAATGTTAATCTGCCCATTTCAAACTGACTTTCAACCATCTGAAAACACAAATCCCAGGACAATGCTAACAGAAGGCACAGGCACAATTTCACGTAACTCTTCTGTCTATCCAGCAACTTTGCAGTCTGCATATTTTGGGTATAACACACATGATCAACAGGTGTACAACAGAAAACCTCTTGAACATGCAAAACCAAATATAGGCCCTCTATTGTTCAAATAAACTCAATAGCTGGATGTGTTTGGGGAACAAGAGGTGACCAATCAATGTGAAGATACTAAAATGCAACAGTTTGTTTGTTTGGGTTTTAAACATAACCAATGATTCTCATTGTTTTAGCAGGTCTTAGCTGTGCAATCTGCTCATAGCTGCAAGCCAGGGGAAGATTTCTGCACTGAGCCCAGTAACTCCTCACCAGGATAAGCCAAACACTCTAGGAACTGGTCATCTCAATCAGAACTGGACAGTATGCACACTAGAATGGTTAATGCAAGAGAAAGTTAAAAGCAAACACACTTATTTTAGCCACATTAAACGTTCATCCTTGGAAAGTAGATGGATGTGTCCTCTCTTAGTCTGCTGAAGAGGAGCTGAGCTGTTGCACAAGGGGTCCTCTAGCTTAAAGACTGCTGCAGCCCATATGACCTGAATGTGTCTGCTTCTCAGGGTATGGAGGAAGGGAAAAGATGATCAAGTGAAACAATTCCTTAAATTCACCCCTTTTTGAGAGACTCCCTGAGAGCCACCAGGCATGATGCTCTTGCAGCTGGTTGTACTGGTGTTGCAGGGCTGTGCATACCATGTACCTTGACAAAAACAAACTCTGCATAGAAGCAAGAGAATACCAAAGAAAAGTGCTAATATGTACAGTTTTTCTGAAAACAACCACCAACAATAATTAAAATGAAATAATCTATAATGCAAGTCCATCACAGTACTTAAACTGTAGCTGTGTTTTCGGAACGGACTTGATACATTCCTAGAATTTTCCAGTTCACATTACTCCTATCTTTTATCTATCCTTATATCATTGTTTTCTCTTTGACTGCATTGTTTGAATAAACAAGACTCAGAAATCTACGTTTATGTGAAGCATTAACTCACACAGTGCAGAGCACTCTTCTACTTCATACTAGATTTGCTGGGTGTTGATCAGTACACTTTTTTCCCTTATAAAGCCCATAATTACATTAATGTTTTCTATTTTGCTTGTGCAAAGCAACACATTCTTATTGCTCATCTCCAACACACAGGTTTGTAGCAAGCAAAAAATGATCAAACCAATCACTAGCTAACAGAAGCTTAAATTCAAAAGAATACAATGAAGTTATTGAAATTGTGCCTCTCTAAAAATTGTCCAAAACAGTTATCTATTGCCCAAATGTAACATGGTGGAAAATTAATATCAAAATGAGAAGAGACTTTGTTCTCAGTGCAAGTGGCTGTTCATAGTTGTTCATAATTTTGCAATATCAGGAAGCTGTATTTCCTACAACAATCAGCAGCATCTCTGCTGAGTATCAAATATGTAAAAGGAAAGCAGGCTGTAATCAAAGACTTGAAAATCAGTGCTTATGAAACAGTCGCTGTTCTCTCAATCACCTTCTTAGCAAGTGGGCTATTCTGTCTTACACATTTCCTAATGTGGACTGACTTTGTAAGCTTGAGTAAACACAAAATCTTTTCCATAGCTAGGTGTAGTATGGAAATAAGTGGAAATGGAACAGAACCCAAATCTTGGCTTGCCACCAGTGCAACTTCAGCTGCACGTTATAGCTGTGACATTTACTAGGCACTATGCACTTTTAATACACACTGCAGCTTTTTACCAGAGAGAGTCCCGGAGGAACCTTACAGGCTTACCCATGGTCAGTTTTATCAAGGAATCCTTCTCTGGACTTCAGTATCAGCCCCAGGAGGCAGAGTGATGCATTTCACCTAATCTTCGATACTACCTGCCAGCCGTTAGTGTAGTGTGTCCACAGGAGAGAAAGCAGTATTTTGCAGCCAGGCATTTCCTGGTCATTGTTATTTAAAACAGCATAGCCTTGCTTTGCAAAGGCGGAGGGCTGAACAGAGCATTATGCACACCCTTTATCTTACAAAACCTATCAAGCAGATTCCCCATGAAGAAAAGATAGTTCACTAAAAAAACATATCCTTTTGACTCAACCACAAGACACAGCAGACATGCAAACGAAGCTTAAAAAGTCAGTATTGCAGAACTTTAAAGATGCCCGAGCTGGATACTTAAGTCAGTTTTTTTTGTTTTGTTTTGTTATCTTCAAGCAGTCTACATTTTTCTGAGTGTTACATGAGGAATCTGAGTTCAATTGTCTTTGACAGTTTCAGAGCACAGTGCCCAACTGGATTGAATGATGGGACTCTCCCCCTAGAACCGATCATACAGTTTGTGATGGCACTGATAGTCTTCAGTAATGTATTTTTAACCCGTGCTCTGTTTTTTTCCACTTCAGATACATTGCATGAATAATAAACAGTCTTTTTCATTAATTATTGTGCTTCGCTGCTTTACGCCACCATAGGGAGAAGAAAGGGAATGAGCAAATGTGTCATCTTCAATACACTGTTGATTCATTTTCTAATTATGGAAACAAACAGGCTTATAAAGATAGATGCATTTGCCTTTCAGCGCAGGATTTTTCAAATAAGGACTCCATATGACTAAGCTGACTCGGTAACTGCAGTTGGAGAGAAAGAACAGCCACAGATGGAATGGGAACATGGTGTAGATCTACTGCTTGGAAATCATGCACCCTACCACCTGTCTCCATATGGTACAGATGTCTGTAGAGCACATCAGAACTCCCCTCACAAACACAGAAGTCATAATTATGCACCATAATAATGTTTAATATTAACATAATTAAGTTTTAATATTTGTCACAGGTTGGTTGTTTGCTTTTAACAAACCCACAAAGATTTTGTTTGTCAAGTTTCCCCTATTCAGCATTACAAAGCAGTGCTAAAGAACTGTTTCATGCTACCTTGCCTTTTTAGGAAGGGGCAGGAGCAGGGCACAATTGAGGCAGGGAGCATAAGGAGCCAGAAGACATTAATCATCCCACAGCTGTGATCCCTTCACAGGTGG